CAACGATGTATAGAACTAAAAACATGTGAATGCCAACGATGTTTAGAACTAAAAACATGTGAAAGCCAACGATGTATAGAACTAAAAACATGTGAATGCCAACGATGTATAGAACTAAAAACATGTGAAAGCCAGCGATGTATAGAACTGAAAACATGTGAAAGCCAACGATGTATAGAACTAAAAACATGTGAATGCCAACGATGTTTAGAACTAAAAACATGTGAAAGCCAACGATGTATAGAACTAAAAACATGTGAATGCCAACGATGAATAGAACTAAAAACACGTGAAAGCCAACGATGTATAGAACAACAAACATGTGAAAGCCAACGATGTATAGAACTAAAAACATGTGAAAGCCGATGATGTATAGAACTAAAAACATGTGAAAGCCGACGATGTATAGAACTAAAAACATGTGAATGCCAACGATGTATAGAACTAAAAACATGTGAAAGCCAACGATGTATAGAACTAAAAACACGTGAAAGCAAAACCATGTGAAATCCAACGATGTATAGAACTAAAAACATGTGAAAGCCAGCGATGTATAGAACTAAAAACATGTGAAAGCCAACGATGTATAGAACTAAAAACATGTGAAAGCCAACGAAGCCAACGATGTGTAGAACTTAAAACATGTGAAAGCCAACGAAGCCAACGATGTATAGAACTAAAAACATGTGAAAGCCAACGATGTGTAGAACTAAAAACATGTGAAAGCCAACGATGTGTAGAACTAAAAACACGTGAAAGCCAGCGATGTATAGAACTAAAAACATGTGAAAGCCAACGATGTATAGAACTAAAAATATTCAAACCTAAACACTTGAAAGCCAACGATGTATAGAACTAAAAACACGTGAAAGCCAACGATGTATAGAACTAAAAACATGTGAAAGCCGACGATGTATAGAACTAAAAACACGTGAAAGCCAACGATGTGTAGAACTAAAAACATGTGAAAGCCGGCGATGTATAGAACTAAAAACAAGAATAACTATATGACAAAAAGGGACACAAAATTAGCTAAATTTATCTAAGGTCAACTTTACCTGAGGGAGTTAGAACCTTTTTTTCTTAATAAATATTTAATTTATCAACAAATTTATGATAAGTTTGTTATAAATTATGTCAGTGCCGATGCACTGACTACTGCGTTGATGGTAGCATCGAGTACTAATAGTCCACCAGCAGTGTCATCCTTCATCGATGGCAATTAATGTGAAAATAAAGTTGACAATTCCAGCTATTTAAAACGAATTGAAGGACATGGTCTAAGTAAAACGTGACAGAACTTATATCAATTTTCGAAATTAGGTCTTACTGACATCAGTGCTTAATTACTGTTATAAAAGCAAAAAAAGATATATGAAACGATGTTTTATTATTTTCTCACCAAAAATTGTTAACGGGATATTTCCTATATTAAAATGGGACTTTGTTTTATAAACAAAATAAGGATGCTTGAAACGCCCATACGTTAAATGATATTCAAATTTGGTGTTGCATTTTTAAAATTAGTTTGCATGGGTAATTCTTGGGTTAAACAAACTAAGGAAACAAAACTGTGAAAAATTAAATCGAAGATAAATAGAACAATAACACAAACGGCAAGCCACACAACCTTTAATAGAACAACATGAAGCCACAAGCTCTTGAACACAGTGTCCTAGAATCGAAAGCAATTCTCAGGGCACACTGGTAAATATTTTCATTATTCATTGTAATGTAATTTGCAGGCTGTTACCTGAACTTTCACAGTCGATGTCCAACGGGATACATTTCCTATAACAACTTATGTTACCTATTTGGAACTGTATCAATGTCTTGGAATGATGCAAAGGTATATTCACGTGAGAATAAAGTTATAAGAGACACAATGCTCTACATTATGTAAGGTTAAGTAGTTCTCATATATTACGTTTATATATTTTTAAAAGTGTTAATTGAAATTGTTATATTTGTTAATGATTTAATTAATTCCTAAAATTTAATATAATTGACGTTTGTCCAAACCAGTCCTGAATTTTGAAATATTGACAAATGAAATTAAAATGAAGCGTTCCATTCGTTTTTATATTTATATTGATTTTGCTTTCGGAAATAACTTTAGTTTTATTATTCAGAATTATTGTACAAGTCACTGTGGTTCACTTATTGACTTTGTTTCCGAAAATGAAATGAGCCATACCATGCGTTACTTTCTACATCATGGTCCTGGACATCTGCATATTGGTAAGAATGTTTAACTAAATATTTCATAGGTTGCACTTTGTAAATACAGCTGTTTCACAAGCCACGCCTCTTTTGGGGAGATATATAATATTCATAGATATGTTAATTTGTTAACGTACTGGTTCCTAGATATGATATCTGTGTTTCATAACTTGGGAATGTTACCAGTATAGAAAAAACACGGTAGCGCCTAAAATGTAATTCTCAGGAGGTCCAAAAATGGAGGTAGGGCTAGTATAGAGTTTTAGTATAAGTTTAAACTCTTAGAAGTTCAGGGCATATAACTGTTGAAAATATGCCGCACAGCCCTATATTTTGACCTTTGAATAAAATAGTAGTGCATATCAGTAGTAGTAGAATAGGGATAAGAAAACAGTAGAGCAGGTAGAGCAGGTAGAGCAGCTTATGTAAATATTGTGCTAGTGATGGTGGAATGTTTGTGTCCACGTGTCATACTTTTGACCAAGGTAGAGCAACATTGGTTGGTAACCAGGTTATGTTTGTCGTCCATTTTGTTTCCACGTTGCAAGGTAGAGCAACATTGTTCGGTAACCAGGGTTATGTTTGTCGTCCATTTTTGTTTCCACGTTGCTGACTTTTTCAAGGTAGAGCAACATTGGTTGGTAACCAGGGTACGTTTGAGATGACGTCCATGTTGTCCACGTTGTAGAATTTTGGGTTGCCTTGCTTGTCTTAATTGTTATTTAAGTGAGCAGCATCCATTTTTTTTTTTTACGTTACTATATTTATTTTTGACGATATATGTTGTTAATAATTTTAAAATGAAAATTCTGAGGTTACATTACCAGGTTTTGTTATCAACAAAAAATGGGCAGATATATATCTTATTATTTAGGTATGGTTTGAGTAGATTCATAGAATTAAAGCAGCTTTATGACATTGTTGAATTAAAGGTTGAAGACTGGAAGTACGATTTAATTATACAAATTGTAGAGACTTCAGGTGGTGGTGGTGTATAAGTAAATGTTAGTCTTTACTGATTAATCATGGATTTAGAAACAGACTCGGGATGTTACTTTTCAGACATCCTCCGTTTCAAACCAGCCCATCTGAATATGATGTATTTCACAAATAGAATGCAAACATATACAAATTGGCCGGATCAGATTAAACAAAAGCCAGAAGATCTAGCTCATAATGGTTTTTTTTACACCGATATAGGAGATAGAGTGACATGTTTTTATTGTGACATTACTCTAAAAAAGTGGACTAAAGAAGACGATATCGAAACAGAACATATAAAATGGGATCCAAATTGTTTGTTTGCAAAGATGGTATCTAGTAAAACCTTGTACAACATACTTATGAAATAAGAATGTTACGTAATGACTGAGATACACTATAAGAAGATCCTCGAATTCCGTTCATTTACAGATTGATTGTTGTAGAGAGAAGACACTATGGATGCAACATTTGAAAAAGCCGAGAAACTTATGCATCACACACTTAAATATGTGTATGCTAGGATGGTCTTAGACTGTTTACCGGATATTGTGAAAGAACATTGTTATGGGTGTGAAGTAAACCACCCGAGTCAGATTCAACACACTTGTTTAATGTGGACAAAAATGGAACATTTAGAAACTTATTTCGATATTGCTTATAAACAGATAGCGGAGAAGGACATGGTTAGGAAGATGTCCAATCAAGTGAAGCTCATGGATGTACCAGATGACTATAAAAATGACGTTTTATCTACATTAAAGGATTGGTGCATTCTACATAAACCAAGTACCAAAAATGTGTCACACTGGTGCAAACGATTGGTGTTGTTGGAAGAAAGATTCACAAACGAATTAAATTAATTTAAAACACACCGATCATTAACATTGGTTATCATTTGATGTGAAACACTCATCATGAACAGACGTATTTTTGAAAACTCAACCTTCCTGAAAGAACTTTACTATGATAGACCCCGAAGAAGAAAAGAATTGATTGAGGAGAGTTCCGATGATCAAATTCGAACCATTTCACACATTGCATATAAAATTTATCATGCAACACTTATGATTAGTATAGTACATAGACGAGAACTTCGAGAGTTTCGGAAATTTATTCAGTTTTTAGCCAGTGGGAGAAATAGTGTAAGCAGGAAAAGACGAGTACTGTTAGTGTATCACAAATTAATACCACTCCTGATTAAGCCTCTGTTGCATTTACTAGACGAACAATGAGATGCTTGAACTGTTTCTAATGATATTTCAATAAAAGTTAGTTACTTGTATTTTGTTTTTTGTCTCTTTATTATATTTTCACAAAGTGCATATTGGTTAGGTATCTCAATTGAAGAAAGTGTCAGTAAAATTTAAATTCCTTCTCGCTTTCAAAACTTTACTTCAGTAGAGATACCAAACCAAGACTATCAGCCTTAAATACAAAGGGAACAGGTCTTACCTTTCATAGAATGAAAAAAAATCCAAGATGAACACACAAGATAGAATAAATGATTTAATATCAAACACATATAAAAACACACATGTAGGTCCCGAAAAAATATACAGAATATTAAAATCCAAAGGAATCACTAATGTTGGACGATCCAGGATAAAAAGACTATTACGAAGTCAAGACAGTTACACTTTAAGAAAGGAACTCCGTCATTCTTTTCGTCGTGCACGTGTAATTGTATCTGGAATTGATGATCAGTGGGACATGGACCTCGCTGATATGTCAAACATTGCAAGTGAAAACGGTCAGTTTCGATACCTATTAGTCGTCATGGATATCTTTTCAACGTATCTGTGGATTCAGGTTCTGAAAAATAAATCAGCAAAAGTTGTAGTCGGGGCAATGAAGAAAATTTTAGCTGGTAACAGAAAATGTAAAAAGATTCGAACTGATAAAGGAAAAGAATTTAACAACAACATAATGAAATCATATCTGAAAAATGAAGGTATACAATATTTCACCACACAGAATTCAGAAACAAAGGCTAACTACGCTGAAAGAGTTATCAAGACTGTGAAAAATATGATGTATCGATACTTCACAGAGAGGAGAAATCATAGGTACTTGGATGTACTTCAAGATATTGTTAAAGTATACAATTCTACTCCACATAGAAGCTTGAACAATATCCAACCAAAAGACGTCAGCAAAACAAACGAAGCAGATATATGGGCATATATGTATTTAAAACCAAAGAAAATAACATCAAAAAAGCCTCGATCATACCACTTTAAGGCTAATGACTTCGTTCGTATTTCTTACATTTCTATGCTATTTGACCGTTCATATGATGAACATTTCACAAGAGAAATTTTTAAAGTTAGCCAAAGATTTCGAATGCAGGCTATACCGGTTTATAGAATAAAGGAGTATGATGGAACTTCCATAAAAGGATTATTTTATGAATCAGAGATGGTTAAAGTGAACAAGGATGAAGATGTTATGTGGTATGTAGAAAAAAAAATCGAAAACGTAAGAGAAATGGACGGGTTCAGTGGTTAGTTAAGTTTGAAGGGTGGCCAAATAAATATAATCAGTGGTTGAATGAAGAGGATATCACAGATCCAAATGACTCCTGAAGATGAGCATCTACATAACATTCAATAGTGAAAAATCTCTGAACTATTTTCCAAACAACAAAGCATATACTTTTTCTTCTCAACTGAATTCACCTGTGTTTTTAAATGGAAATTGGAGAATAGGGATAAGAAAACAGTAGAGCAGGTAGAGCAGGTAGAGCAGCTTATGTAAATATTGTGCTAGTGATGGTGGAATGTTTGTGTCCACGTGTCATACTTTTGACCAAGGTAGAGCAACATTGGTTGGTAACCAGGTTATGTTTGTCGTCCATTTTGTTTCCACGTTGCAAGGTAGAGCAACATTGTTCGGTAACCAGGGTTATGTTTGTCGTCCATTTTTGTTTCCACGTTGCTGACTTTTTCAAGGTAGAGCAACATTGGTTGGTAACCAGGGTACGTTTGAGATGACGTCCATGTTGTCCACGTTGTAGAATTTTGGGTTGCCTTGCTTGTCTTAATTGTTATTTAAGTGAGCAGCATCCATTTTTTTTTTTTACGTTACTATATTTATTTTTGACGATATATGTTGTTAATAATTTTAAAATGAAAATTCTGAGGTTACATTACCAGGTTTTGTTATCAACAAAAAATGGGCAGATATATATCTTATTATTTAGGTATGGTTTGAGTAGATTCATAGAATTAAAGCAGCTTTATGACATTGTTGAATTAAAGGTTGAAGACTGGAAGTACGATTTAATTATACAAATTGTAGAGACTTCAGGTGGTGGTGGTGTATAAGTAAATGTTAGTCTTTACTGATTAATCATGGATTTAGAAACAGACTCGGGATGTTACTTTTCAGACATCCTCCGTTTCAAACCAGCCCATCTGAATATGATGTATTTCACAAATAGAATGCAAACATATACAAATTGGCCGGATCAGATTAAACAAAAGCCAGAAGATCTAGCTCATAATGGTTTTTTTTACACCGATATAGGAGATAGAGTGACATGTTTTTATTGTGACATTACTCTAAAAAAGTGGACTAAAGAAGACGATATCGAAACAGAACATATAAAATGGGATCCAAATTGTTTGTTTGCAAAGATGGTATCTAGTAAAACCTTGTACAACATACTTATGAAATAAGAATGTTACGTAATGACTGAGATACACTATAAGAAGATCCTCGAATTCCGTTCATTTACAGATTGATTGTTGTAGAGAGAAGACACTATGGATGCAACATTTGAAAAAGCCGAGAAACTTATGCATCACACACTTAAATATGTGTATGCTAGGATGGTCTTAGACTGTTTACCGGATATTGTGAAAGAACATTGTTATGGGTGTGAAGTAAACCACCCGAGTCAGATTCAACACACTTGTTTAATGTGGACAAAAATGGAACATTTAGAAACTTATTTCGATATTGCTTATAAACAGATAGCGGAGAAGGACATGGTTAGGAAGATGTCCAATCAAGTGAAGCTCATGGATGTACCAGATGACTATAAAAATGACGTTTTATCTACATTAAAGGATTGGTGCATTCTACATAAACCAAGTACCAAAAATGTGTCACACTGGTGCAAACGATTGGTGTTGTTGGAAGAAAGATTCACAAACGAATTAAATTAATTTAAAACACACCGATCATTAACATTGGTTATCATTTGATGTGAAACACTCATCATGAACAGACGTATTTTTGAAAACTCAACCTTCCTGAAAGAACTTTACTATGATAGACCCCGAAGAAGAAAAGAATTGATTGAGGAGAGTTCCGATGATCAAATTCGAACCATTTCACACATTGCATATAAAATTTATCATGCAACACTTATGATTAGTATAGTACATAGACGAGAACTTCGAGAGTTTCGGAAATTTATTCAGTTTTTAGCCAGTGGGAGAAATAGTGTAAGCAGGAAAAGACGAGTACTGTTAGTGTATCACAAATTAATACCACTCCTGATTAAGCCTCTGTTGCATTTACTAGACGAACAATGAGATGCTTGAACTGTTTCTAATGATATTTCAATAAAAGTTAGTTACTTGTATTTTGTTTTTTGTCTCTTTATTATATTTTCACAAAGTGCATATTGGTTAGGTATCTCAATTGAAGAAAGTGTCAGTAAAATTTAAATTCCTTCTCGCTTTCAAAACTTTACTTCAGTAGAGATACCAAACCAAGACTATCAGCCTTAAATACAAAGGGAACAGGTCTTACCTTTCATAGAATGAAAAAAAATCCAAGATGAACACACAAGATAGAATAAATGATTTAATATCAAACACATATAAAAACACACATGTAGGTCCCGAAAAAATATACAGAATATTAAAATCCAAAGGAATCACTAATGTTGGACGATCCAGGATAAAAAGACTATTACGAAGTCAAGACAGTTACACTTTAAGAAAGGAACTCCGTCATTCTTTTCGTCGTGCACGTGTAATTGTATCTGGAATTGATGATCAGTGGGACATGGACCTCGCTGATATGTCAAACATTGCAAGTGAAAACGGTCAGTTTCGATACCTATTAGTCGTCATGGATATCTTTTCAACGTATCTGTGGATTCAGGTTCTGAAAAATAAATCAGCAAAAGTTGTAGTCGGGGCAATGAAGAAAATTTTAGCTGGTAACAGAAAATGTAAAAAGATTCGAACTGATAAAGGAAAAGAATTTAACAACAACATAATGAAATCATATCTGAAAAATGAAGGTATACAATATTTCACCACACAGAATTCAGAAACAAAGGCTAACTACGCTGAAAGAGTTATCAAGACTGTGAAAAATATGATGTATCGATACTTCACAGAGAGGAGAAATCATAGGTACTTGGATGTACTTCAAGATATTGTTAAAGTATACAATTCTACTCCACATAGAAGCTTGAACAATATCCAACCAAAAGACGTCAGCAAAACAAACGAAGCAGATATATGGGCATATATGTATTTAAAACCAAAGAAAATAACATCAAAAAAGCCTCGATCATACCACTTTAAGGCTAATGACTTCGTTCGTATTTCTTACATTTCTATGCTATTTGACCGTTCATATGATGAACATTTCACAAGAGAAATTTTTAAAGTTAGCCAAAGATTTCGAATGCAGGCTATACCGGTTTATAGAATAAAGGAGTATGATGGAACTTCCATAAAAGGATTATTTTATGAATCAGAGATGGTTAAAGTGAACAAGGATGAAGATGTTATGTGGTATGTAGAAAAAAAAATCGAAAACGTAAGAGAAATGGACGGGTTCAGTGGTTAGTTAAGTTTGAAGGGTGGCCAAATAAATATAATCAGTGGTTGAATGAAGAGGATATCACAGATCCAAATGACTCCTGAAGATGAGCATCTACATAACATTCAATAGTGAAAAATCTCTGAACTATTTTCCAAACAACAAAGCATATACTTTTTCTTCTCAACTGAATTCACCTGTGTTTTTAAATGGAAATTGGAGAGTTGCCTTAGTTGAAGCAGACATTTCAAGTAGCATATCTAAATCAGAATCCATTTACCTGTATTCTAATATTTGTGGTGAATCTATTGTCGATGGAGAACAAAAGCCACTTCTTCGAAGGTTAAGTGCAGCCTCTATGGGAAACTGGTCAAACATTTTCGAAGTTCCGCATTATGTTCCTGTAAAAATAAATGACCTCTATAATATTGATATCTATATAACTGATGGTGACAACAATCTAGCTTCATTTTTAGATATTCCTGCAACGGTAACACTACACTTCAAATCGTTTCCATTCTTTTAAAAATGAACAAGATGTATGTGCCAAATGTAGGAAGCTGGACTAATTATTATGAGAAGCTAGACAGAAAAGGTCATCACAATACTAACAAAGGTCAAAAACAAATCGGAGGTGGGTCTCTAACTGGAACCTCAAGGTCATCCATTACACCAATCGGCATACCAACCAAAAGCCCTTCTGATGAGAAAGTAAAAATTCAACTTGTCTCCCTCGTCCATCAAACGGATGAAATGGCCAAGGACATGGTTGAAAGAGAGAAAAAGACATTAAAAAGAAAGCCATCTAGTTATGATGCCAATTCTTCCAAAAGACGTCGAACGAACGAGACCTCCAAAAAGCCCAGTAAAACCACCAAAAAGTTGACTAAGCACAAAAAGTCAAGAAAGACAACCAAAGCATCAAACAAGAAGAGACATACGAAGAAAAAAACCAACAAGAAAAAACTGCAAAGCTCTGTGAAAACCTTCAAAGACATATTCAAGTAAATGGCTGCTTTATCGTTAGATGGGTTCCAAGAAGCTCAACCAAGTGGTTTGGATCTGTTTTCATTACCACCAACACAGACAGCGATTGATTCAGTGTATTATGATGAGCATAGGTCAACAGCACAGCTAACTGGAACTACACCAGTAGAATTTAACATTGCAGCCCAAAATTCACTAGAGTATATAGATTTGAGAAAAACAAAATTATATGTAAAAGCGAGAATAAAACATATCAATGGAGACAGTCTAAAACCTACTGAGTATGTTGGTCCAGTTAACAATTTTCTACATTCTATGTTCTCACAGATTGATATAACATTACAAAATAAGTTGGTGACATCAACTACCACACATTATCCATACAAGGCAATGATACAAACTCTTTTATCTTTTGGATCTGAAGCAAAAAAATCTCAGCTGACTAGCCAGTTATGGAAAACAGATCAACCAGGACATTTTGATGATAGTGATGTAGAAAATGGTGGCAATTCTTCCTTATTCGATCGCGCACAGTATTTTACTCAAAGTCAAGTGTGTGATTTAGAAGGTCCGTTATTTCATGATTTATGTAGTCTGGACAGATACATGCTGAATCAAGTAGCTATTAATGTTAAACTTTACCGTTCAAGACCTGAGTTTGCTTTGATGACAAGTGAAAAAGATCCAAATTGTCAAGTCATCATCGATGACATAGTGTTAAAAGTGTGCAAAATACGTTTAAACCCTGCTGTCATTATGGCACATGCGCAGAAACTACAAACAACAAATGCTATATATCCCTATACCAGAACAGAAGTCTACATTTCTATACCTGCTGGGAGTCTTAGTTTCAATTACAATAATTTGTTCAACGGACTCCGACCGACTCGTTGCGTTATAGCTTTTACAGAGTCCGCTAGTTCTAGTGGTTCATATACGTTAAATCCATTCAACTTTCAACATTTCAACCTTAGTCAAATAACGCTCAAACTGAACCAAGTTCCTGTAGGTGGGAATATTATGCAGTTAAACTATGGAGCCACGAGTCGAACTATACTACCTGCTTTTAAAAGTATGTTTGAAGTGACTAACAAGTGGATGAGAGACAGTGGAAATCAGTTGAGTAGAAATGATATAGCAGGAGGAAATGCTTTATATTGTTTTGAAATAGAACCAAATTTCAGCGACGAGGGACAGTACTTAAACTTAGTGAAACAATGAACTTGTTCTCTAGAAGTCAATTTCAATGCACCACTGCCGAAAGCGTCCACGTGTGTTGTGTATGCGGAGTTTCCAGCTTATTTTGAAATAAATTTAGAAAGAAACATCATTTTAGAATGAATACTTACCAGCTCAAGTGTGCCATTGTTTCAGACGTTGACTTACAACGATCTGTTCTTGGTGTATTCTCATCTGATGAACTGTCTCAAGTTCACCTACTACCAGGAATGGGTGTGATAGCCAATACAGATGTCGCAGGCTTACCAGGAAGACATTGGGTAGCATTTTTCTGTAATAGAAAGAACAGTCTTGAAGTATTTGACTATTTTGGGTATTCAGAAAAAGAACTCACTGTTTATTTTAACAAATTCATGCGGAATTATGCATACATACAATCAAACGAGAAAAGACTACAAGGTGATGACACAGTTGTGTGTGGGCAATATTGTTTGTTTTATTTAATGTGTCGTGTGAGAGGATTTACCATGCAACAGATAACAGATGTGTTTTCAGAAGACTATCAATTGAATGACAATTTTGTGTACAGTTTTATAGACAATCGGTTTCATTGCTGTGTGAACAATGTGTGTAATGTTGTGAGTCAATCTTGTATCAAAATAAAGAAGTAATGCTTATATGTTATTGTTGGTGTTGTTGTTTCCTCTCTTTTTTTTACATATAAAACAGTTTGTCTCTCAGCTATTTTTATTATTTCACTTGAACAGTATGGTTGACTGGTGGGAGAAGGAAAGTTTGCTCAAATTTCAGAGTCCAACATCAATATTCATTGTTGGTCCGTCAAATTCAGGAAAAACAATGTACACCAAAAACCTTCTTGAAAATGCAGATGGTATGTTTCAAGTACCACCGTCGAAGATATTTTACTGTTACAGTATTTGGCAGTCAGTTTTCGATGAAATGAAATCAGCAATACCAAACATTGAATTTTTTCAAGGTTTCCCCCATATGGATGTTTTATCAGAATGGGGGACTTTACAAGGGCATAAGGTTCTTGTTTTAGATGACCTGATGGTGGAATCTGCAGATAGTAAAGAACTGGTTCATCTCTTAACTGTAGGAATTCACCATAATTCAATCACTTTGATTCAGATTCTACATAACTTGTATTGTAAAGGCAAAGCCATGAGAACAGCCTCCCTCAATTGCCATTACTTTGTTTTATTTCGGAATTATAGAGATCAGTTACAAATTCAAACTCTTGGTAGGCAGATTTTTCCCGGACAGTCTAAATACTTTTTAGATGCATACAAGAAGGCGACATCTGTAGACTATCGCCCATTAATTATTGATTTAAATCCACATACAGACAAAACATATCAGTTGACAACAGATCGTGGAGTTGGACAGACACCTATCGTATATCACTCTGCAGAATGAAGGACTATTTAGCACATTTTCTTTTGAATGCTACTGCAAAACAAATTTCTCAAGCGATTAAATCACTAAGCAAGGAACAGTTGGAATGGTTGGTTGAAATAATATACAATGTGATGCAAGGAGTTTGCTCCATTTCAAGTGCTGATAAAACTTTGCTGGCCAAGAAAAAGAAGCTCATACGTAAAATTGTTTCCAAAGGAGCAGCATATAAACAGAGAAAATTATATTTATTAAAAATAAGAGGACTGCTTCCTATTTTCCTAAAGACATATCTCCGTTATGTCTCGCGAACTGATTCTGATTCCTAAACTGAGGTATGAACAATTAAAAAATCCAGAGACATTGCCGGAAAAAAGAGAAAATCGAGATCAAGATCAGCCGAAAGATAAACCAGAAAATATCGATGACTTGGAAAGTAAACAGTTAGTAGAGGACTTTCAACCTGAAAAATTGAAGAAGTCAAACAAAAAGAGAAAAATTACACAACACGAGGAAAGTAAACCATATATCGCTATGCCCCTTAAAACAATGCTGCAAGAGAAAAGTAAACAAAAACCAAAGATGAAATGGTTATCGTTTCGAATTAAGATGTCATGTGACATCGTCACGTGTATTTAAATTGAGGAAATTAGGTAGTTGTTATCATTTTGTGTAAAGTGAAAAGCATGGCTCACCGCGGTGTTCATACCAATGATTTACATTTTAACGAATCTGATGATGGTATGTTGGTGAAGGCAGCCATAGAGGTTGAGAATAAATTCAAACGTAAGAAATCATGTGCTGAAAATGTTGATGTCAAAAGACCAAAGTTAAATTGTGATATTTGTGATAAAACTTTCAAATACAACAGAAATTTGAACAGACATATGAATTCACATTTTAACAGAATTCAGTGTTTAGCGTGTAGGAAATCGTTTACGCAAAAACATAATTTAGTCAAACATGGTAATAAGTGTTCTGGACAGCGCACAATAAACAAACGAGATAAACAATTATCTAAGCAACTTACATGTAGACGCTGTGATGTCTCCTTTGATGATGTTGATTCTTTATTCACCCATGTTGCCAACCATCATCCGTTAAACCAAACAGGAGGTAGAATGCCTAAAACGGAGGAGCCAGTTGTCAGTCAGATAAAACGTAAACGGTTTCGTTTTAAGAAAAGCGCCATTAACAAATCAGTGAATCGTGTAGACCTTATGCCTATTGGTGATGAAAAATATGATTTATTACGTTTTTTGGCTAATACGAAAACTGATGTTGAAGAAATAATAGTATCTCAGCAAAAGAAACAAAAAAATGTCAAATGGTATGTAAATGCTCGAGTGGAGATGGTTCGAGATATTGATGATGGACAACAAGAAAAGGCTCACCCACATTTCCGCAGCAAAAGTTACATATCTCTTCAGAATGAGAGTAATGATCATAATTTAAATGAAGCTTTCCAAACGATTAACAGAGTAATGGAAGAATTTATCAACAAGGGATCTAACTGGATATTGAATAAAGTTATATGCCTCGAAGTACATACTTTACCATACTCACCCATAGCTGGTTCAAATTATATGGAATTACCATACAAAATTAAGGCCACTGGTGGAATTATCAACATTAGAAATGATGACCAAAAGTGTTTCCTATGGTCTGTACTGGCAGCCCTACATCCGATGGAATATAATCCATATCGGAAGTCACATTATACGGCACACGAAAATGAATTGAACATGAACGATATTGAATATCCTGTGTCTTTAACAAAAATGGAGAAATTTGAGAAACAAAACAATATTTCAATCAATGTTTTTGGCTTTGAAAACGAAGAAGTGTTCCCACTATATTTAACAAAGTTAGAAAATGTAGATAGGGAGATTGATGTATTGTATTTATCACAGAACGGGGAAACTCACTACTGTTGGATCAAAAATTTAGATCGTTTCCTTGGATCAATGACTAAATTTCACACCAAACGGTTTTACTGTAGAAGATGTCTTCACGGATTCATAAGACAAGACTTATTAAATGAACACAGACTATATTGTAATAAGTTTTATTTTCAAAAAGTGACTTATCCAAAAGAAGGAGAAGCCATTTTAGAATTTAGAGACTTTCATAAACAAATGCGTGTTCCTTTTGTCATCTATGCAGACTTTGAATGCTTTGCAAAAAAGATGGATACTTGTCAACCAGACCCAAATCAATCGTCAACAACACATAAAACAAAAGTTTTGTTCCATGTGGTTACTCCTACGTTGTGGTCAGTTCAAATGATAGATATTCCAAGCCAGCCGTTGTGTACAGAGGAGAGAACGCAGTCGAACACTTTTTTGAAAATATATTTACAGAGGAAGAATACATAGATGATATATTGAGGAACATTTATGAGGAGTTAATAATGAGTGTGGAAACCGAAACGCAATTTCAAAATGCTACAAACTGTTATGTATGCAATCAACCATTTTCAGGCAAAATAATCAAAGTTCGTGACCACGACCATTTAGGTATAAACGAAGATAACGAATCACCAAAGTATAGCAATTACAGAGGGGCAGCCTGTCAGAGATGCAACTTGATGTTGAAAAATCCAAATTTCATTCCGGTCTATTTTCATAATTTGCGGAACTTTGATGCACACCTTTTGCTGTCGGAAGCTGGTAAATTCAAGGACAAAAAATTAACATGTATACCAAACAATATGGAGAAATATGTGTCCTTTTCTGTTGGACAACTGAGGTTTTTAGACACATACCAGTGCATGAGTAGCTCTTTGGAGACGTTAATTGCTAATTTAGCGGCAGACGGTTTTAAAAATTTCAAACAATTTCGAAAAGCTTTCCCCAATGACGAACACGCTAAACTTTTGCTACAGAAAAACGAATACTGTTATGATTATGTGAATTGTTCTGAAAGATTTGAAGAGACAGCTCTCCCTACAAAAGCAGCTTTTTATAATTCCTTAACCAAAGAAGCTATTTCTGATGAAAAGTATGAACACGCTCAAAAGGTCTGGAACACGTTCAATATGAAAACCTTAGGGGATTTTCACAATTTGTATGTATTAACAGATATGCTACTCTTAGCAGATGTTTTCGAACGATTCCGTGACATGACTCTTGAATATTACAAGTTGGATGCTAGTCACTTTTTCACGAGTCCAGGTTTAGCATGGCAAGCAGCATTGAAAATGAGCGGTGTCTGCCTGGATTTAATTACTGATCCCCTCATGTACAACATGATAGAGCTTGGAACACGAGGTGGGGTCAGTATGGTTACCAAAAAATACAGTCGAGCTAATCATCAATATGTTGACGACTTTAATGAATCAGATGTGAAAAAACACATCATGTATCTAGATGCTAACAATTTGTACGGTTGGGCAATGTCTCAACCATTGCCTTATGGTTTTTTCCATTTTTTAAATGAAGATTAAATTAGTCATTTTGAGTTACAGAAAGTCGAGTCAGACGCAAAAGAAGGCTACATTTTAGAAGTAGACATAGAATATCCTGAACATCTCCACAACAAACATAACGATTATCCTCTGGCACCCGAACATCTACTCATTGAAGACATAAATCTATCGAAATACAGTACTGATTTATGGGGAAAGTTAAATTCTGTGAAGAATGCACTAGTAGCACGATTTCAGTCTGAAACGGTCATTTTGGTCTGATCATATCTTAATCGACTGGATTTACCGCTAGAGAAAAACGTCAAGACTTTTAAGAACTTTAAGACGCCGTTCCGATCGATAGTCTCATTAGGTAAATCAGTCCGTTAAGGCATGTTAAGATAAACAAGACTGAATCTTCTAGCAAGCTGTTAAGATCCGTTACGACGGTGTCAGACCAAAACAGACCAAATCTCAAAATTAACGTTCAAAATTGTCAGACCATGTTTAGATCCGTTAAGTATGCCGGTATGATACTACGAGTTACGCCCCTTCTGCTTGATAATGTATTTTAGATTAATATATATATATTTATTAGAATTTAAAAAAAAAAGTATATCTCTCGAATAAATAAAAAGTAATTAATGATTAAATCCTCTGTAGATTCTTTATTTCTGTTGTTGTTTTGTTGCGGAACTAATAAATTATTCATCTATATATGTTGCTTATTTTTTTAATAAATGTTAGTTTATTTATTTACATACTTATTAAATGCAAGGTCGTATGTTAATTGTATACTTACAAAAACGATTGCCATACATTTAACCTAAAAATGTTGTGAACCCTGTGTGAAAATGTTTTTCGTATTTGAAAATTAGTAACGGAAAATCTTAAACGTAACCTAAAAAAATAAGAAGATGTGGTATAATTGCCAATGAGACAATCCACATAAATGAAGCGGAGGCAAATTAACACATGCGTATTTTTGTTTTATGTCAGTTGGTTTAATTCGTTTTCTGTTGATATGTCCTAGTTTACTATTACCGTTGGAGCTGTTTTTTTTTATTTTCATGCGAGTTACTCTATTAAACTTGGAAAAGCTTTTATTGCCATAGCTTTGTACTGTACAATATAATTTTATATTATTAAACAATAATTTATTTTACATAGTGGTGCGTCTAAACACCACCAAGGTCGCCATAGTACATGAAGCTGATCATGATACTGCATTCAGTCTGTGTCGAGACAGTGTTAAACTATATATAAAGTACCATCGTATAAAGATTTTCATTCAAACAATGTATCCTTATATTTATTTTCTAACCCATATAATATACATATATATAGTACTTAGTGTATGGCGTAAATTTAAAATTTTCCGTTTTAGTTCAAATGATTGAGTTCAATGGCACGTGCTAGTAATCAACCGGGTCAACAGGTGACAAAATCAATGATCCATAACGTAAGAAAGTACATGACTATTTTACAATTACACTCATGATTCTTAATAAAAAGGTGCCGTAGGGCTAAAAGTTAATAAAGAATTAATGAATTTATGTATACGTATTAGTATTTAAGCTGTTGATGTTTGACCGTCAGTTTTAATATATCATGCTATGTTTTAGATTCAATAAAATAATGAATCTGAATCTATTATAGCTTAGTATGTGTAGTTTAAGGTTCTTACAATATTATATATTTCTAAACACTATACCAAAAGATAATGCAAAATATTTGAGCGCTGCATGGCAAACCATTAAAAAAACATGTACAGTTCGGAAGTTTGTTTAGTATTCAAAAGAAACTTTTCGCTTCTCTACTTATATAGTTTAGAGAGTATTCCTTTAATTTGTGTCAGTTATATAAAGTGGTGTGTATTTGTATTCTATTTATTTGGCAAAATTGTATCACTATACATACATTTTGTATTTCACAACTATATATACTGTAAGTTGTGAATTGTGATTGATTGTTGGTTGCTTAAAGTCCAGTGGCAAATATTTCATGCATGTTCAGGACGAACTGTGGGTTTATGACATGGAACCCACCAGTGTAGGTTTCATGTGGTATAATATTTAAAAGTTACTTAAATTTAATTATCATGAATTTTGAATAAATCGAAACATAACGGGAGCTAGCTATATATAGACGCATGGATCACCCGGACCTATCAGTTCTTTTCTCTGTTTTGTCTTAAAAAAAAACATGTTTTTTTTTTATATTTCGATTTTGTACTTTTATATAATTTACGATAACTGTGGTTTATACGTGCTGCCAGACGAAAGATCTCTGTGTCCTCTAGATGTCTTTTTTTGTGTGGATTGGTTGCTTTGTCATTGACGTTTAACACAAAACTTTTATTAATTAAGTGTGATCTATGTAGAAATTCAAACGTACTTAAGAATGAAGGATGAAAATCCAGGCTTTAAATAAAAATGGTCATTAAATAGCCACACAATTAAAAGAATATGAAAAATGTAAGTGTTGGAATAACATATACAATATATATGTGCATTGTCGGAAAATATAATTTTATTTTACGAACTTTGGTAACTGGACAAAAAGAGAGGCGCACCAATCTTTTCTCCTTTTGTGTAGCGAGTACAAATGAACTGATCCTAGTTATTTCGTATAGCATCTTTTTTTAAATAATAAAATCGCGCGTGCTCTATCTCAAAAAAGATGCTCACAGTGCAGTGTACTACTTTTGAGACAAATTATATCAAATTATCAAAATATCAATCTCTAACTTAATATGTAAACATAATACATGTAACAGCACCCCTTCTAGTCCTTAGTGGCATAGTATACGTCCTTATAGTGCACTAAGGACTCCTTAGCAGTGTTTAGACGTACCGAAATTATAGAGCAGTCTAACAGCTCTAACTCAAAATATGAACCATTCTATGTTGCAGGTTGGGGTCTACAATTTAGTTTGAAAGCTTCAATCATACAAGTGTTTTATCCTTTTAATTTGGACTAAATCAATACTTTACCTTAAATTTCATCACCTAAATTTTCAAACATGTACTACTTTTTATTTGATGCTTAAAATATAAAGAAAGAAATTTGGAAGATTATAACCTGTATTAGATACACCAACAACTACCAAAGGATGATAAGTATGTGTCACACACACACACAAAATATTAACACTGTTGTTTGCTCAATATGGAAGCGAAGTAACAGTATAGATAGATATAAGAAGATGTGGTATGAGTGCCTATGAGACAACTCTCCATCAAAGTCACTATTTGTAAAAGTAAACCATTATTATAGGTAAAAATAAGTCAAAGACTTTATTTAGTTATACAATAATTGGCTGATTGCAGGGCTTAGATTCCTTTATTTGTTCCAAGTTTTTAAAATCACAGGTTTTGGATGTCATCGATTTCACCGTTCCCGTTGTAAAACAGTCCCTGACTACCAACGTGGACTTATGTTACGAACTAAAACCACTATCACACGG